GCTGCAGTTATAATTGAATACCTTGGATGCAAAATCAACAAACAAGAAAAAAAGCCAAACAAGCACCACCAAAATGGAAAATCAAGTTGGAAAATAAAATCAGCATGCTAAGATCAGATGCAAGAAACTAGAACAGATGAAAGAAAAGAAGCTGGAGAACAAAAAGACCAAAGAATACCTGATCAAAAAATATTACCTAGAAAAAGGAGGATCGAGGAAGCACTGGAAATAATAAAACAGCAAATAACAGCCATAGCCAAGAAGATCAGCAAATATCAAATTCAACTTGCACACTACAGGCACATTGGAAGACACAGTTGCTGGTCAGTGGTGAAACACTGGGAGTTGTTAACATCAAGAGAGGAACCTTTCAAGGAGACTCACTATCACCATTACTGTTTGTAATTGCATTGATTCCTCTGTCAACAATTCTGAACAAGTCAGGCCATGGCTCTCAAACATCAAAAACTTCTGCCAGGTTGTCCCACCTCCTTTACATGACGATCTGAAACTGTATGGAAAAACACTATCTGAAATGAAATTGCTGCTCAACAAATATACAGCCAAGATATTGCAGTGGAGTTTGGACTGGAGAAATGTGTCACCCTTACCATCAACAGGGGAAAAATTGTGAAAACTGAAGGAATCAAGATGCCCATTGGAAATAACATCAAGAGTCTGAATCAAGAAGATAATTACAAATACCTGGACATCCTTCAGGATGACAACATCAAGCACACTGAAGTCAAGAAAAAGGTTAGTAGTGAATACATCAGAAGAGTGAAAAAGATCTTAAAGCCCAAACTCAGTGGCAGAAATACCATCAAGACGATTAACACCTGGGCAATTCCAGTCATTAGATATACTGCTGCAATAGTGGACTGGACTCAAGCTGAACTAAAAGCCCTGGATAGGAGGACGAGAAAAATAATGATAGTGAATCATGCCCTTCATCCACACAGTGACGTTGACAGACAACTTACCAAGGAGCACAGGTAGATGTGGAATGTTACAAGTATACCAGACAGTTGAAGAAGAAAAAAGGGCCTTGGAAGAATATCTGAAGGACAGTGAAGAAGATGCACTGAATCTAATATACCAGGAAGGCTTACTGAATACGAAAGAAACCAAATTGGCCTATAAGAAAGACCAAATGAAGAATAGAAAAGAGGCATGGCAAGGCAAAATATTACATGGCCGGTACTCACACACACACATACACGCACACAAAACCTTGCAGGCAAAGCAGAAAACAACAAGACCTGGCAATGGCTAAGAGCAGGAAAGTTGAAGAAGAAAACAGAGGGACTAATTCTGGCTGCACAAGATCAAGTCTTAAGAACAAATGCATAAAAAGCCAGAACTGAGAAGACAGCAACAGACAGCAACTGCCACCTCTGAAGCTGAAGAAACAGTGGAACAACCACCTAGTTAGCTGCTGCAAAAGATCACACAGACTGAGTACAAACAATGGTATCACAAAGTAGCAACAATGGTGCATTGGAATATCTGCAAGAAATACCATTTGCCTGCCAGCAAGAACTG